TTTTGCAATTCTTCTATTAAACCTATCCCTAAGTATTTTATTCTTTTTGATGCTATTATAAATGGCTGTAAAAATGGCGTGGTGGGGGCATCTGACTTCATCTAACTTCACAAGGGGGAAGGAGAATCAAGATCAACAGCTAAAGGCTGATTTCTATGAGTTGAGGTTAGACATACCTCCACAATTCAACCTTTTACCAATTCTGACACCAGCTGTCCCCCCAAATCATTCTCTACTTCTCTGCTGGGTTCAATAATTCATTGCAACTGCCACACAGAACTCACAAACAATACTCATGATCATGGGGTTTATCAGGGAAGTAACAGGTTACAATTCAGGATCAGAAACAACTCAAGAAACTTAGGACATCTTCTTGGTTGTGCCCACAGACAGGCCTCTCCCTCAGCCACTTGGCCTCTCTGCCTCTTGGGCCAGCTCAGCCTCTGCCCTGCTCAGGCAAGTGTTACAAAGCTCTTTAACTCTACCAGTAAGTGCCCAGAGGCACTGCATTCTGCCAGTAAGCCTTGGCCCAAAGGCGCTCAACTCTCTAGCTCCATGAGTTGGCAAGCCTAGCTCTGCTGACAAGTGCCCCGCTCCGCCAGCAAGTATGCTGCCCAAAGGCACTCAGCTGTCTTAACTCTGTGGGCCGGGAAGCCCACCGCACCATCTCCTGCCAATCTCCTGGTTCTGCTACCACCATTTCTCTGCTGTGGCTTCTCGCTCTCTCTTGCTGTCTCCTGTGTTACAGCTCCTGGGTCTAGGAAGTTCTCAGCACAGGGACCCAGGTCCAAAGGACATGCTTCGCTTCCAACTCTTCTTCTTGGTGGTAGTGGTCCCCCCTTTCTGCCTCTAGGATGACTCATTTTAAGCCTAACAGGATGGCAAAACTGACCAATCCCCTTGTTAGGGTTCCATATACCTTATTTACATAGTCCCACCCCCACACAGGTTCTATGCATCTTTATCTGCATTAGCAACAAGCTGTCCAATTCCCTTAGTGGGCTACAAGCACCTCACTCATAGTCCCACCCACTCATTTGGTGGAAGTTACAAGACTATAGCAAAAGAGGCCATATAAAAGCAAACCATCACACTGCAATGGTGGTTTTAATTTCCATTTCTGACTGTTCATTATTAGTGTACAGGAATACAATTTATTTTTATACATTTATCTTATATTCTACAATCTTCCTGAACTCAGTTATTATTATCTCTAATAGTTTTTTTTTTGTGTGGATTCCTTAATATTTTCTATATATAAGATCATGTCATCTGTAAGTAATTTTACTTCTTCCTTTCCAATCTGTATGCCTTTTCTGTATTTCATTTTCTTGCCTAACTGGCCTGGATGGAACCTCTAGTATAAGATTGAATAGACATGATCTGAACAGATAGATCATTGTTCTTGATCTTAGGGGGAAAATGTTTCAGTTATCTAGTGCTGCTATAACAAATACGACAAGTGGATGCTTTAACAAACAAATTTATTTTCTCACAGTTAAGGAGGCTAGAAGTCCACATTCAGGTTACTGGCTAGGGAAAGGCTCTCTCTCTGTAGGCTCTAAGGGGAAATCCTTGTCTCAGCTTCTCCAGGCTGCCACCCTTGGAGTTCCTGGGCTTGTAGATCGGTCTGTCTCCATCATCTTCAGACAGTGTCTGTCCTTCCTCTGTGTCTGCCTTCTTCTGTGCCTAATTTGTTCTTTTATATCTCAGAAGTATACACACTGCACTGACATAGCCTCATTAACATAACAAAGAAAGCCCTATTCCCAAATGAGATTACATTCACAGGTATAGGGATGAGGGTTTATAACACACTGTTCTGGGGGGGACACAATTCAATTCATAACAAAGTATCAGTCTTTCAACATGAAGTATGACATTATCTGTGGATTTTTGATAGATACTGTAAGAATGGTGTGACAGTAGTATCTGACCTCACTAACTTCACAAGGGGGAAGGAGAATTATTATCAGCATCAACAGCCCAAGGCTGATTGCTATGAGGGGAAGGTCAGACATGCCTCCACCCTCCAACCTTTTTACCAATTCTGACATCAACTGTCCCTCCCATGGTACTCTCTACTTCTCTGTTGGGTTCAGTAATTCATTGCAATGGTCACAAAGAACTCACAGACCATACTCACAGTTATGGGGTTTCCTAGGGAAGTAACAGGTTATAATTCAGGTTCAGCAATGTTCAGATACAGTTTTTCGGTCAGGACAGACTCTTCTAGTCGTGCCACAGGCAGGCTGCTCCCTGGCCTTCAGCCCTGACTCCACCCGAGCTGTTTCCTGCTGGTCTCCTGGTTCTGCTGCCACTGTTTCTCACCATCTCTCCAGTGTTACAGCTCTCTCTCTGTATCCTGGATCTAGGAGGCTCCCAGCACAGGGACCCTGGATCCAAAGGACACGCTTCACTCCTGGCTCTTCTTTCTTGATGGTCATGAGGTCCCCTCTCTGCTCTGGAATGGTCTCTCTTTTAAGCCTATCAGGATGGCAAAACTGACCAATCCCCTTCTTAGGGTTCCATACACCTTATTTGCATGGTCCTACCCACACAAGGGTGCTGTGCACATTATTTACATAATTAGCAAGGTATCCAACCCCTTGGTGGACCACAAGCACCTCATTTGCACATTCCTACCCAGTCATTTGGTGGGAGTTACAAAGACTATGGCTAGAAAGGCCATATTAAGTAATTCACTGCACTGCAGATGCCACTTATGATGCTGAAGAAGATCCCTTCTATTTCTAATTTATTGGTTTTATTATGAGATGGTATTGGATTTTGTCAAATACTTTTTCTCCATCTAGTGAGATAATCATGTGGAATTATCCTATTCATATGATCTATTACATTGATTGATTTTCGTATGTTGAACAATCTTACATTTGTGGGCTAAATCCACTGGGTCATGGTATATATACTCCTTTTTACATGTTGCTGGCTAAATTCAGTTTGCTAGTATTTTAGTTGAGGAGTTATATGTCTATATTCATAAGGAACACTGGTTTACAGTTTTTTTTTTCTTTTTGATGTCTGTCAGATTTTGTTACTGGGATAATACCAGTCTCATAAATTAAGTTGGGAAGTGCTCCCTCATCTTCTATTTGGTGAAAGAGTTTGTGAAGGACTGGCATTAATTCTTCTTTAGACTTTGGTAGAATTCACCAGTGTAGCCATCTTGTCCTGGGACTTTCCCCGTGAAGTTTTTTTTATTACTAATTCTATCTCTTTACTTGTTATAGGCGTATTCAGATTTTCTATTTCTTCCTGAGTCAGTTTTGGTAGATTGTTTCTTTGTCCATTTCATCTACATTATTTAATTTGTTGGCAGACAATTGTTCACAGTAACCCCTTATAATCTTTATTTCTGTATGGTCAGTAGTAATGTCCCCTCTTTCATTCCTGATTAGAATGAGTCTTCGCTCTTTTTTTTTCTTGTTAATTTTGCTAATCTTTTCAAAGAATCAGTTTTGGTTTTAATGATTTGCTCTATTGTTTTTCTATTCCCTATGCCACATATTTGAGGAGTCCTGGTGGTACAAATAGTTATATACTCGGCTACTAACCAAAAGGTTGGCGGATCAAACCCACCCAGCAGCTCCATGGGAGAAAGATCTGGTGATCTGCTTCCATAAACATTACAGCCAAGAAAACCCTATGGGGCAGTTCTACTCTGTCATATGGAGTCGCTATGAGTCAAAAACTACTCAATGGCACCTGTCTTAGTTATCTAGTGCTGCTATAAAAGAAATACCACAAATGGATAGCTTTAAAAAAAGAGAAATTTATTCTCTCACAGGTTTAGGAGGCAAGAAGTCTGAATTCAGGGTGCCAGCTTCAGAGGAAATTTTTCTCTCTCTATTGGCTCCAGAGAGGAAGGTCCTTGTCATCAATCTTCCCTTGGTCTGGGAGCTTCTATGCGTAGGAACCTCGAGACCAAAGGACGCACTCTGCTCCAGGTGCTGCTTTCTTGGTGGTATGAAGTTTCCCACTCTCTGCTCACTTCTCTCTTTTATATCTCAAAAGAGACTGGCTAAAGATACAACCTAATCTTGCAGATTGAGTTCTGCCTCGTTAATATAACTGCTGCTAATCCCATCTCATTAACATCACAGAGACAGGATTTACAACACATAGGAAAATGACATCAGATGACGAAATGGTGGACAGTCAAACAATACTGGGAATCATGGCCTAGCCAAGTAGACAGACATTTTGGGGAGACACAATTCAATCCATGACAGCACCTATAAACACCAACATCAACATGTCATATATTTACGCTCTAATCCTTATAGGGTTGCTATAGGATTGCTATGAGTCAGAATCAACTCCATAACAACGGGTTTGTGTTCTTTTTTTATATCTTTGAGTTCCTTCCTTCTACATGCTTCAATTTAATTTACTCTTCTTTTTCTACTTTCTTAAGGTAGAAGGTTAGGTTATTGATTTGAGGTCTTTCTTCTTTTTATTACAGGAATTTACTGCTATAAATTTCCTTCTAGCACTGCTTCAGCTGCATCTCATAGCTTTGGTATGTTGTGTTTTCATTTGTCTCACAGTATTTAATGATTTCCTATTTGACCCATGACTATTTAGGAGCATGTCATTTAATTGCCAAATATTTGTGAATTTCCCAAATTTCCTTGTGTTATTGATTTCTAATTTCATTACTCACTCTTGAGTTCAACTTCAGATAAAAATATTACAGAACCCTACACTTGAAAGAAATCATTATAAGAAAATATCTACAATCACTCCTACCATCATCCCAGATGGTATCGAGATTATTTTTAATAGATTTTGGGATAGGAGACAAAGAATTCAAATGAAAAAGTTGAGAACATCTAAATTTTATGTAGCATTTTACAGATTACAAGAAGTACTTTTATATCCATGACTACATGAAAATAATGATTTTTTAAAAAATTCCTTGACTGTAATTTGTAACACAAAATAGACACAACTAATAAGATAGCAAGACAAAATACCTGATAAGTGTTGTCAAAACTGTCATACATGAATCTGGTGATCAAGGATGTCTTTCCAACTGAAAAGAAAATGAAAAAAGATATTTACTCAGTAAACTGGGTTCTCACACGATCCTTTGGGGTCTCACACAATTTTCTACAGACAACTGCAATTAAACTAAATGTGAAATATCTGCAATGGTTCCACTAATAACAATTAAAAGTCATTTGGCCCTGAGTTTGTCACACAACTTTCTTTAATAACAGACAAAATCTCTCAAGAGTACAAAGAATATTTACTAGGAAGAAAGGCCTGGCGATCTACTTTCAAATACCAGCCAATGAAAACCCTGTGGATCATAACAATCTGATCCCGTTATGAATGGGGTCACCATGAGCTGGGGCCAACTCAGTGGCAGCTAACAACAACAACATTATCACATAAAGAAAGGACTAGACGTGTTCAATATGGCCTAAACAGGCACAGCCATGACCCAGAGGTAAAAGTCACTGAACAATCGCACTGTGAGGTAGGCACTATAATTACTGAATTTTAAGCAGCGATTATTAAATAAACTCGTCTATGTCTACATTACGTCACTGATAAGAAGCAAAGCAGGATTCAAATGCAGATCTGTCCCAAGTTCTTAACTATTATGCTGTATTTCTATCAAATTTAGCACTTACAGGTGCACTGTATAATACAGAAAACATAATAAATCATACAGATGTTTCAAAACGCACATGCTTGCCAACCTGCATTATCCCTTTGGAATTGGCTCCAAGCCTCTCCAAGAAACAAGATGCACTCTCTGAACCAATAGGGCTGTTGATAGCTGAGAATTAGCAACGAAGTTTGTTATGGGTTGAATTGTTTCCCCCCAAAAAATGTGCTGTAAATCCTAACCACTATACTTGTGGACATAATCCCATTTGGGAATATAGTTTTCTTTACTGTGTTAATGAGGTCATCTGTTTAGGGTATGTCTTAATCCAATCAACTTCAAGATATAAAACAAGCAGGTTAGGCATAGAGAACCAAGTATAGATGATGGAAGATAGATGCCACGCCACATGAGATCTCCAAGGAACCAAGAAACAGAAGATGAAAAGAGACAAGGCCATGCCCCAGAGCCAACAGACAGAAAAGGCCTTCTCCTAGAGCCAGTGCCCTGAATTCAAACCTCTAACCTGCTACGCATATGTCAGTTTGTCATAGTGTGGGGGCTTGCATGTTGCTGTGATGCTGGAAGCTATATAATCGGTATTCAAATAATAGCAGGGTCACCATGGTGGACAGGTTTCAGCTGAGCTATCATACTAAGACAGACTAGGAAGAAGGATCCGGTGGTCCACTTCTGAGAAGAATCAACCAATGAAAACTCTGTAAAAAGCAGCGGAATATGGTCTGATATAGTGCTGGAAGATGAGCCCCTCAGGTTGGAAGGCACTCAAAAGACGACCGGGAAGACCTGCCTCCTAAAAGTAGAGTCGACCTTAAAGACGTAGATGGAGTCAAGCTTTCAGGACTTTCGTTTGCTGATCTGGCACGAATTGAAATGGAAAGAAACAGCTGAAAACATCCATTAATAATCGGAATGTGGAATGTACAAAGTACGAATCTAGGAAAATCAGAAGTCGTCAAAAACGAAATGGAGTGCATAAACATCGATATCCTAGGCATTAGTGAGCTAAAATGGACTGGTATTGGACATTTTGAATCAGACAATCATAACAGTCTACTATGCCGGGAATGAAAACTTGAAGAGGAATGGCACTGCACTCATTGCCAAAAAGAACATTTCAAGATCTATCCTGAAATACAACAGTCAGTGATAGGATAATATCCATATGCCTACAAGAAAGACAAGTTAATACAACTATTATTCAAATTTATGCACTAATCACTGAGGCCAAAGATGAAGAAATTGAAGATTTTTACCAACTTCTGCAGTCTGAAATTGATTAAACATGCAATCAAGATACACTGATAATTACTGGTAAGTGGAATGCAAAAGTTGGAAACAAGAAGGATCGGCACTTGGAAAATATGGCCTTGGTGATAGAAACAATGCCAGAGATCGCATGATAGATAGACCAATGACTTATTCATTGCAAATACCTTTTTTTTGACAACATAAACGGCGACTACACACAGGGACCTCATCGGATGGAAAACACAGGAATCAAATTGAGTACATCTTTGGAAAAAGACGATGGAAAAGCTCCACATATCAGTAAGAACAAGGCCAAGGGCCAACTGCAGAACAGACGATCAACTGTTCATATCCAAGTTTAAGTTGAAGCTGAAGAATATTAAAACAAGTCCACGAGAACCAAAATATGACCTTGAGCATACCCCACCTGAATTTGGAGACCATCTCAAGAACAGATTTGACGCACTGAACACTAATGACCGAAGACCAGTCGAGCTGTGGAATGACATCAAACATGAAGAAAGTAAGAGGTCATTAAAAAGACAGGAAAGAAATACAAGACCAAAACGGATATCAAAAGAGACTCTGAAACTTGCTCTTGAACATTGAGTAGCTAAAGTGAAAGGAAGAAATGATGAAGTAAAAGAGCTGAACTGAAGATTTCTAAGGGTGGTTTGAGAAGACAAAGTATTATAATGACATGTGCAAAGAGCTGGAGATAGAAAACCAAAAGGGAAGAACATGCTCGTCATTTTTTGAGCTGAAAGAACTGAAGGAAAAATTCAAGCCTTGAGTTGCAATAGTGAAGGATTCTACAGGGAATTTATTAAATGAGGCAGGAAGCATCAAAAGAAGATGGAAGGACTACACAGTCATTATACCAGAAAGAATTGGTTGACGACATTCAACCATTCAGGAGATAGCATATGATTAAGAACCGATGGTACTAAAGGAAAAAGTCCAAGCTGTACTGAAGCACTGGCGAAAAACAAGGCTCCAGGAATTGACGGAATACCAACTGAGATGTTTCAACAAATGGATGCAGCACTAGAAGCGCTCACTCATCTATGCCAAGAAATCTGGAAGACAGCTACCTGGCCAACTGACTGGAAGAGATCCATATTTATGCTTATTCCCAAGAAAGGTGATCCAACCGAATGCGGAAATTATCAAACAATATCATTAATATCACATGCAAGTAAAATTTTGCTGAAGATCATTCAAAAGCAGTTGCAGCACTGTATCGACAGGGAACTGCCAGAAATTCAAGCCGGATTAGAAGAGGACGTGGAACCAGGGATATCACTGCTGATGTGAGATGGATCCTGGCTGAAAGCAGAGAATACCAGAAAGATGTTTACCTGTGTTTTACTGACTATGCAAAGGCATTCAACTGGATCATAACAAATTATAGCTAATATTGCGAAGACTGGGAATTCCAGAACACTTAATTGTGCTCATGAGGAACCTGTACATAGATCAAGAGGCAGTCGCTCAAATAGAACAAGGCGATACTGAGTGGTTTAAAGTCAGGAAAGGTGTGCATTAGGGTTGTATCCTTTCACCATACTTATTCAGTCTGTATGCTGAGCAAATAATCTGAGAAGCTGGACTATATGAAGAAGGACAGGGCATCAGGATTGGAGAAAGACACTTTAATAACCTGCGTTATGCAGATGACACAACCTTGCTTGCTGAAAGTAAAGGGGACTTGAAGTACTTACTGATGAAGATCAAATACCACAGCCTTCAGTATGGATTACACCTCAACATAAAGAAATCCAAAATTCTCACAACTGGACCAATGAGCAACATCATGATAAACAGAGAAAATATTGAAGTTGTCAAGGATTTCATTTTACTTGGATCCACAATCAATGCCCACGGCAGCAGCAGTCAATAAATCAAAAGACGCATTGCACTGGGCAAATCTGCCGCAAAAGTCCTCTTTAAAGTGTTGAAAAGCAAAGAAGTCACTTTAAGGACTAAGATATGCCTGATCCAAGCCATGCTGTCTTCAATAGCCTCACATGCATGCCAAAGCTGGACAATGAATAAGGAAAACCGAAGTAGAACTGATGCCCTTGAATTATGGTGCTAGCAAAGTGAATATACCATGGACTGCCAGAACAACAAACAAATCTGTCTTGGAAGAAGCACAGCCAGAATGCTCCTCAGAAGGATGATGAGACTTCATCTCACATACAATCTGTACACGTCATCAGGAGAGGTCAGTTTCTGGAGAAGGACATAGTGCTTAGTGAAGTAGAGGGTCAGTGAGGAAGACCCTCAACAAGATGGACTGACACAATGGCTGCAACAATGGGCTCAAGCATAACAACAATTGTGAGAATAGCGCAGGACCAGGCAATGTTTCATTCTGTTGTACATAAGGTCGCTAGGAGTCAGAACTGATTCAGTGGTACCTAACAACAACAGCTGCCTCCTAAACTCTGAGAAAATAAATTTATGTTTATTTTAAAAAACAAAAAAAGAATATTTGTTTAGTTAAGAGCAGGGCATCGAACTGGTTCAGTTCTGTTCAACCACCTGCTCAGAATTTGCTTTTCCACCCCTATATATTCTGAATCAGAATCTACAGTTTAACAAGATCTCCAGGTGATTCTTACAGATCCCCAGGTTTACATAAGAATCACTGGGGGATCTTGTTAAAAAATTCTGATTCAGTATATTTGGGGTGGAAAGGCAAATTCTCAGCACAGGGTCAATCATAATGAACCAGTTGAAGACCTGGTTAAGAGTTAAGGAGTACGAAAAAACAGGACAGAAGAAAACAAACAATTACACAAACATCCCCAGTTCTCAAAAGGCCAAGCAGGTATCTTTTTGCTTCCAGCAAAAAAGCAGCACTGTATGCTGAAAGATCTGAGCAGAGATTTTAGCTGTTGTCCACAACCAGTGACTTTAAATTTAAATTTAAATTTAAGAGTTTAAATTCAGCCAACTCAACCGCCTTCTAGGACAAAAATCACCCTTTGGAGGAACAGCAAACTCTCTCTGTATGTATTCTCCATTACAACCAGTATATAGTCAAAAATTATTAGACAGAAGAAAAAGAAGAAAAGTGTAATTAATACCTAAGGAAAAAAAGTAGTCAATAAAAACAGGTTCTCAGATGATGC